ATGGTCTTTTACTCTAAATTTCAAGCTTAACATGGACCGGTTACCTATCTCTCAAGGATTCCTTTGAGAAACTCTAGACTAAGGGTTGTAAAGATACCAAATTGTCCAGAACATGACACAGAAAAGAAAGAAGGCTGCACACAGGCCAGCCTGTCCATTGTTTGAAAGATAAGGGGGCTTTGCTCCAGAGAGCAAAGGGCCATGGTGTTGGAGACAGGGATAGGCACTTCACCTCCACATTGGGATCGAGGGGACTAAGGCCTGCTCTGGGCTGCCCTATGTGGAATGCAGAGCATGGCATGATCCGGGCTTTACTGCACAGTGGCATCAGCTCAGGAGGGTTCTGGTCTTGACAAAAAACTCCTCTCTGCCTCTCCAGCCATCACTCAGCTCAGGAGGGTTCTGGTCTTGACAAAAAACTCCTCTCTGCCTCTCCAGCCATCACTCTCTACCCTGTGGAACATGTAGATAACTGCTTTGACCCCCACCTCCCATGCCCTTGCTCCATCACCTAGTAGAATTAGCAGAGCCAGAAAGCTAGAAGGCACAGAGTGCTGAGACAGGTCATCTTGCTGTGTGTGCACACTGTGACAGTGGCAGTGGTGCTGGGACACGCTGGCTGTTCTGCCCATCAGTGTGTCAGCTCAGACACTGAATGCCTCTACCTCCCCAAGTGGTGCAGAAGTTGGTTGAAGCTAGAGGAAATGCAGTGCAGAAAATTCAAACCCTAACCTCCTCCTGTCTCCTGACCCAAAGTTAAGCATGTCCTTGTCTTGTTCAAATGAAGGCAATAACCGTTTTTTTTTTTTAATTGAAATTGTTTCTTATGGGACAGGAAGCAAGTGTCTAGAATCATAGACATGTAAAGTCAGCAAGGACCTTTAACACATCTAAAGCCTTCCTTTTCTCTCAGGATCCTTAAACTTCTCTGCCAGCTAGTTTCCCAAAGTCCAGCCTCGGCTAAGTTCTATCCAAGCTCGTATTGGTGGGCTGGGCCCTGTAGTTCTGGTGTTTTGGTGTGTGTGTGTGTGTGTGTGTGTTATGCTGGTCCTGGGGCTTGAACTCAGGGCCTGGCCTCTGTCTTTGAGCTTTTTTGATCAAGGCTAGTGTGTTGTCACTTGAGACACAGCTCCACTTCTGGGTTTTTAAGGTGCTTAATTGGAGATGAGTCTCTTGTACTTTCCTGCTCAGGCTGGCTTTGAATCATGATCCTCAGATCTCAGCCTCCTAGAATAGCTGGGATTAAAGGCATTTACCACCAGTGTCTGGTTATAGTTCTGTTTTATATCAAGCCAAGATTCCTCCTGGTGACATTACCTGTTGGTTGTGAATCTGCCAGAAGCATCCAAGATGTGGCGGTTCCCTTGCTTCTTTCTTATCACCTCCTTGACTTTGGCCACCTCTCACCTTTTAATTCTCTCCACTCAAACACCCCCCAAATTTTCATTAGTCCTCTTCTACTACAGTGGCAGCAGGACTACCCTTGGGAAGAGTGCCCATGTCAGACCACATGTTAGTAGGGTCAAGACTAGAGTGAGATGGCTGAGGCCCTCAGACTTGCAGCTGCCAAGAGAATATACTTCCTTGTCTTGTATGCTCTGGGTACACTTTTTAGCTCATCCCACTCTACCTGGTGTTGTCACAGTCATGGGCATGGTGGCACATGCCTGGAATCCCAGCACTTTGGAAGCTGAGACAGGAGGATCGAGTGTATGAGGCCAATCTGAGCTATGAAGTAAGACCCTGATCACAAATAAGTAAATACACAAAGTCCTGGCAGTGCAGTAGACTCCTGCATCCTTAGGTAGCAGCATCTGCCCCAGAGTGGGTACCCTAGGGTGGGGCCACTAAACTAGTGGTAAATTCACATTCCACACCTGTTTAATACTAGTTACCACCAAAGACCAGTCTCATCACATACCTCATGGTCTTAACAAGTGTGCACTCTGCACTTGAAGCTTTATTTTGCACCAACTTAGAGCTCATTGTGAGGTAGTAGCTGATGTTCTTTCTGCTCAATTAACTTTGTCTTATTAGGCAAAATGGATCTATTTACATCGTGGTGGTGCTGTGAGTAAAGCTCTTGACTTTTAGCCAGGCAGTAATACTGACTGACTTGCTCTTCCAGGATACCTTTGTACCCTCAGCATCCCTCAGCTATCATGAAGCCTGGAAGTAGATCTATTTATGTAGTTTCCTTCATTCTAGACAGTTTCCCTATGTCTGATGAGGATAGGTTAGGAAAAAATTAAACTACTGATTCTATTTTGAGATAATGAAATTGCTAAGGAATATTGTTGCTTACAATACTTAATTTATCAGTGTAATCACTGAACACACAGGTGTGTGTTCACCTCCCTTCCACCCATCTAATGTGACCTTTAAAACACACTATTTTATTTTGGTCATGTGCAATATTCACTTCTTACTCATTTTTCTTGCTTGTACAAAGGATGAGTTTTTACATAATGGTGAGAAATAGGAACAGAAAGAAATGAGAATTGGTTAAAGTAAAAGTCTGCAAATAAACTACATTCACCTCTCATCTACTCATGGTGGCCCATCTTGATTGTTTGGGGCAAGTTTGTTTGGCAAGCTGCCTTTAAATCACAGTAAAAAAAATTTTTTTTTAAATTAGGAAATTTGTAAGGGATAGAAATCTTTATTCCGTGATGTTTCACCACAATGGAAAAGCTAATTTTAAAGGATTTGTAACTTGGAACTTTAAGAACTGGCATGGACAAAGGTCATCGGAGAAATTAGGAGAACCTCTTAATGTCAAGTCTATAATATGGACTTGAATCTGATAGAAGGGAGGCTTTAAAAGCTGCACAAAGGCTCCCAAGGCAGGAATTGTGGTGGGGTACGAGTGTGTGGGACTCTCGGAGAATAGATTTGTGAGCCAGAGCCACCTGAGTTTGGTCTGGGTCTGCTCTGAAAATCTACTCTCAATGTTAGCGTGCTAAGGAGTGCTTTCTTAGTGTTAATTTTCATGAACATTTCTATGACACACCTTGAATGAGCCAAGGTGTGGTCTGTACATTCCACTTGAGATTAGCTCCAATTTGAGATTCCCTAGGACAGTATCTTCTGGGTGTAGAGTGTCTCTTCCCATCCTTGTCTGGGCTTGGCTTCTTTTTCTAGATGGTTTAAGAGTTGGAAAGTGTTCAGGACCAGAGATGTGTTCCAGGAAGTGGTAGACCTATAGCCTACAAACACATTAGGAAAGTCTAGTCTTAAAAGGACCGAGTAATCTGGGTCACTTCTCTCCTTGACTCCCTGTCTCCGGTAGAGAGTTGGGTATCCAGTCCCAAAGTGCTCAGAGCCTGTTACTTGTCTCTAGTTCTGCCCCACCTGAATCTCTTCAGAGGGGCTAGTCTGATGTTCCTTGGTGTGCTGCTTTCTGTGAAGCCAAGCAGGATGCTGTTTGGTGTGCCAAGGAGCTGCCAGCTGCTCCTAAGTGTTTTTTCATGGCCCATCATTGTCAGAAACAGTGTATTCCCATTCCCAAGAAGCCCTGCTGTGTAGTGCAAATGCCTCAGCAAGGACCAGGCCCCTGGGCTCTGGCACAATGACGTGATCTATGTCAGCCACTCCAGAGAGGGAGTGTGAGACTTCAGCTTGCCTAAAAATCATCCCGTGCCTCTGGTCGGTCGTGGGGCTTGAACTCTGGGCCTGGGCGCTGTCCCTCAGCTCTTCAGCTCAAGGCGAGCGCTCTACCACTTGAGCTACAGCGCTACTTCCGGTTTTCTGGTGGTTTATTGGAGATAGGAGTCTCTCGGTCTCTCCTGCCCGGGCTGGCTTTGAACTGAGATCCTCAGATCTCAGCCTCCTGAGTAGCTAGGATTACAGGCGTGAGCCACCAGCACCAGGCTTGCCCCCTGCTATTCTTATGCTCCAGTAACTTCCAAATGTCTAAACATCATGTTGTATCTGAGCTCCTGGTCTTTCTGTGGAATGTCCCTTTGCTTGCAACACCTTCCCTGCCCCCCTTACCTCCTACACTCCAGTCTCCCCTTGACCTCCCTAATCTGTACAGCCAGTGTATACCACCTCAAAACACCCTTTCCAGGAACCTTTCCCAAAATGGGTCCACTTTTATGTGCTCTCACAGCACACAGGCTACCTCTACCAGTGATATGATTTCCCATTTACTGGGTTGCTCCCAGCTTGAGAGCTTCGGAGAGTCTTGTCATAGAGTCACAGGTACTGTCCCCAAATGTCTCTGGTGGTATCCCAAGTGCCATGTAGGGTGGCACTGCCTGGTCTCTCAGGTAAGCTGGGAATGTGGCTGGGTCTGGTTATCAAATGATAATCACCCGTGGAAGCTCTCTAGAGGTTTTTTTTTTGGGGGGGGGGGTGATCCTGGGGATTGAACTCAGGGCCTGGGCGCTATCTCTGAGACTCTTTGTGCTCATGGCTAGTGATCTACCACTTGAGCCACAGCGGCACTTCCATCTTTTTAAGTCACAAATTTTCCTGCTCAGGATGCGTTGAACTGTGATTCACAGCTTTCAGCCTCCTGAGTGAGATTATAGGCACTGGCACCCAGCTCTAGAGGATTAAAAAAAACTCCACCAGGAAATGTATTCATTATCTTACTCATGTAACTGTAACCCATCTGTACACTATTTTTACAATAAAAAACATATTAAAAAAATCAAACCTCCACCCCAAAAATCCACAATATCAGAGATAGTAAGGTCCCTGAATAACAATGCACAGAAGCTTCCCTGCCAGTATGGGTAGCTGTTATTGAAAATAAACCTCAGCTGGGCACCTTAGGCTTGTGCCCAAAATCTGAGAATTGGAGTTTGAAGCCAGCCTGAAAAAGCAAAGTCTGTAAGACTTTTATCTCCAATAATCCTGCCCCCGCCCCTGGCAAAAAAAAAAAAAAAAGTGGTTCAAGTGGCACAACACTAGCCTTGAGAGAAAAAAAAAACCCACACACATAAACACCACATATGAAAATAAACCTTATTGTTTTTGCTACTGTGATTTTGGGATTTGTTATTACAGTGCAATCTAGTCCACCTTGACTGATACAGATAACTTCAAACATTTCTGTCAATCACAAAGCAGATATATGAACAATCATAATTCCTATCACCATTTTTCCTGGCTATGAAACTAGTTTTAAGGAGGCTAAGCAGATGTTCGACCACACCACTCTCGGGTCTCTAACTTTGTGCTTGGTGATAAAGTATTGCTTGGAAGGGCCTATGGGTATCCCTCTACAAGGAGGTATGCATGCCAACTCCTGTGCCCTCTGAACAGCTCAGATAATGCCTAGGTGGACAAGCTTCTGGGTGTATCCCAAGACAACCATGAGCTGCACCCACCTGCACTGATGGCCTGTTACAGCGGGGAGCCTGGAAACCACTGCCCTCAACCTTCTGAGTATCTCCCCAAATAAGTAGCATGCCTTTAGTCCTCTACCCTGGGGCCTCTACCTGGCCCTAAGCATACTTCTCCCTGTCTCTTAAGAGAACCAAAAGTTATACTCATTAGTGTGGAGAAGGAATATAGCACCCTTCCAAGTTAGCTTGGCTGGCTTCAGGAATATAACAAAATTGCCAGTGCTTCTGGACTTTGCACTTCCTGGGTGGGTGTGGGCTGTAAATAGAAGTCAGAGTCAAAGCTGCTTTATTTACCAAAACACAGATCTCCCCTCAGTTCTACCAGCCTTCAGCCCTTGAGACATGGTCTCTAGATGTTCTGAGACAGCATGTTTTCAGTTGCCTTTTCCTGGAGAGCGCCGCTCATGGCAATGCAGAGCAGCTGACAAGGTATCACACAGGTAGGTATTACGGCTGTGGGATGGCCACAAGGGAAATCACAGAAAGCAGGGGCTCCAAAGCCTCTCCTGGCTACTCAGCTCCTATATTTGATGTTCCTCTGATCATAGTTTGCCCAGGCCCAGCTCCAGTCTTAACTCTGCAACACTGTTCTCCACAAAGCTCACGCGGGTGCCATAGTAACCCACAAACTCTGAAGAGCCAAAGGCCCAGATCTCAGCCTCATACTCAGCTCTACCATTTTACAGACCCAAATGGACATAGCGGCCAGAGGGGAGGATTACTGTTAATGTTCAACAGTGGAAGAACTGAATCTTAGAGGGGTATAGGAAATTACCTCATCTGCACGGTAAGTTGGGGACAAACCAGGACAAAGTCTGGACTTCTACCCCTTATGACTAATTTCCTGTCTGCTTTACTATGGGGTTCAAAGTAATGAAGGTAGAGGGGAGTTTTTCTAGACGTTTCATGCTGAGGCTTATAGGTGCACACATATTTTCAGAATGTTGACCATACTGGAATCAGTATTATGGGATTTGAGACGCATATTCAAGTTGGAGGCCAGATGAATTCCTGGGAGCAGTCTTGTCCCTCTTGTGGCTTGCTCAGCTGGGAGCTGCCAAAGGGCCTGGGGGGGGCATACCAGCCACATCTGGTGCCAGCCTTCACTTCTTACGGTCCACAAATGGATGTTGATGGCCGAGGGGAATATATGGCAGCTGTTGGGCTTCGGGGGTTCATCTGACTCAAGTTTTCATAACTGGACTCCTGAGCCTGGGGCCTGTGGACAGGAGAAAATTGGCTGACCATTCAATATGGTAGGGGGTTGTGGGGGCTCCTGAATTCCCAAGGTATACCCTAACAGCAGGCCAAAAGAAGGGGACACAAGATGGGGGGCAGAGGGATCAGAACCCAGCTTAAAGACTAATGAAAGGAGGTCAGAAATAGGGAGGGGTGTGTGCTGCCACTGTCACCATTCCAGACTACCAACTCTCCATCGCCTCAACATGTTTTTGTCAGAATACAAAACCAGGTTTCAGGCCCCTGATCTCCACGTTCATCTCTGCCAGTTCCCATTGCTTTCTAGACTTCTTTCTGGAATCGCCAAATAGGCATCTCAAATCTCTATGCCTACCATGCTGGGGGTGATCCTCATACACAGCCCCAACCTGTTCTCCATCCCAGTAAGTAGCTCCAAGGGTTAGTTTGGGTGTGCTGATTCTTCCCTTGTCCACAGGCTGCTCCTCTGTCCTCAGGCAATCCTCCCCTGCCTGTCCCCACTCTGACACCCCTGTGTGAGCAGTCACATAGTTTCTCCCAGGCCTCCTAGCCCTTCCTGGTCATCTACCTTAAACCATCCTGACTTCCCCTTGCACTCAGACTAACTGCCCACCCTTACCTGCCTACCTCATGGTCCATGCTCTGGCCTTGCTTGCCTCCCTCTGGGTCCTACCTGTGCCTTTCTTCTTGTCTGTTCCCTTCAACGTGGAGTGCCCCTACCCTGCACACTGCAGGGCCCTCTTCCAGGTTCAGATACCCTTAGTACTATGTCCTCAGAGAGCATCTTGGTCTATAAACTCTGCCCAGTAGCCACCTGTTCCCAGAGGCTCTGCGTTATCACTACGCCCATCCCCTTCACAGTTCTTATTCTATAATCTAAGGTAATTTTGCTATGTGTTTATTAAAGTTCTGCACATTGGAAAGTGAGTTCAGGGATTTTTCTGTCTTCTTAGCATCTAGTGTGTATCACAGAGTAGGTATTGAATAAATATTTCTTAAATGACCAAACATTTGGCTTTCTGATGCAGGGGCTCAGAGGAATATGAGCAAGGAAAAGGAACAGGTGACAGGTGGTGAAGATGTTTGAGTAGGCAGCTGAAGAGAGTTGTGCTGCCCTAGCCAGCATCTGGCACAGAAGGTCTGGGGCCTACAACTGGGTCCTTTCTTCAATGTGGACCTTCACTTGGGTGGACATTACAGAGGAGGTGCCATGCGCCCTGAGTCATTGACTCAGGCTGAGGTCCCTATAGTCATCCTCTAAACTAGGCCCTTGAAATTCTAAAGGAGATTTTCCATGAGAAGAAGTCAGCAGAGAACCTGGGAAAATGAGTGTACTCATGGTGGCTTCCACGTGGAATGGTCTGTTTTGGAATTCTGGGGACTACAACATAAAGCAGCCTGGTGGTGTGCTTTTCAAGTCCATAAACACCAGGCTAGGTGTGGTGGTGTGAGTGCTGGGAGCCAGTTAGGACGGAAGGGTATGCTTGGCTGACAGAGGGGAGGCTGTGAGGAGAGCCCAGGCCATACGTAGCCAGCCTTCCTCTTCAGGCTGCTGGTCCTGAAAAAACCAGCACCTCTTCACGATAGGAATAGTCATTGGGATAGGGAAGACAGTTTGAGCACTTACCGGGATGGGGTGTCCTGGGTAACCGAGTGTTCTGTGTGAAAGAGAAGGAGAGAGAGATGTTAATCTGCATGCAGCTTCCAGTTACATGTCAGCTAACCCGCCCTCCACACCCCTCCCCACCATGCATGCACAGTGTAACTGGCAAGATGAACAGAGGTGAGAACCTTGAAGAGCACCAGGAGTGAACGGGAAGAAGGGTGGACAGGGGGCAGTCCTGACAGAAAAACAAAAAACAACTGCCTGAGGACCCAGCAGCACAAAAAGTTTGGCTGAGTTTAGAGAGTAAGGTCAAAGGTCACAGGCAGGGTAACTGCGCAAGTTTCAGATTTCATCCTTGGAGAGCTCCAGGCAGGTGTTAGTGCTATGTAGGAAATCGATCATGGGATACAGAGAAGCCATATTTTGAGAGGTTGAATTGGAAGTCTTTATTAGAAAGCTAGCAACTGTGAGCAGACACATGTCCCCCCAAAACTTGCTGCCTCAAATGCACTTAATACCATTAGGAAACTATTACTATTAGTAAAGAAAGAGCAGGAAGAACAATCTCAACAAACCAGAGCAACTCTAATGGAGAGGGAATGCCACTGTGACCTGAGGAGAGTCAGGAGATATGGAGCATGGCGGCTGAGGTGGCGGGGGCCTACGGAGGGTCATGGTCAGGTGGCAGGCTAACAAGGAGCTGGAGAGTTTAGACTTTCAAGAGCTCATGGTACAGGTCTGGTCCAGGAACCTACTGTCCAAGTCCCCACTCCTGCTACTAGGAATCTAAATTCTACCACCTGGGGTTGAGAGTGGGGAAGTGGAATTTCACCTCTAGGAGTTTTCAGAAAGTCCACCAAGATGCTAACATGGTGCCAGTTAGGCCCAGTAGCCATATTTCATTACTGACCTGGGAGGATTGAGAGGCTCTGGGAAGGCCCCTCACTGTCTGGAGCTCACAGCAAATGTCCCTTCCTCAGGGATAGCAGTCAGTGGCAGCTCCCTAAACACCGTAGGAGTTTTATCTGCCACACGTTGACCCGTGCTGCTCTCATCTTTCCAGGCTCCAATGGACTTACAAGTTTTGGCTTAGCTCGCATTGAACTTCTTCCTTAAGGCCTTCCTTCCTGGCCTTCCCAGAGGATGAATACCACCACCCTCTACCCTCTGGGGTCTAGGGGAGCCTGTGCCACAGTGCACTGCAAAGATATGCTCACTCTGCTTCCTTCCTGTGAAGAGCCAGGTCTTTCTTTTTTGGTGGTATGGGGATTTGAACTCTGTCTTCTGCCTACTGGGCAAGTGCTCAACCACTTAAGTCACTCTCCCCAACCGGTTTTGTGTGTGTGTGTGTGTGTGTGTGTGTGTGTGTGTCTGAGTGGCTTCAGATGTTCATCCTCCCTAAGCCTGCTATGTGGCTGTGATTACAGGCTGGCACCACCACTTCCAGCCTGGAATCCTGTCTTACACATCTCTGATAACTTCCAACAAGGTGAGGCACAAGTAGGGGTCTGCCACAGGATGGTTGCTGGGTTGCACTGGAGTAGGGACACTGGGAAAGCCTGTGGTCGGAACCCTAGGGAGCACTCATTGATGGAAGTGATGTTAAAGGAATCTTTGTAGGGCTCAGAGGACTGAATCTCCATCTCAACAGGTCTCAGCTTCCTCAATGCAAACACGAGGCCTGTTGCATGTGGGAAGCACAGGTGCAAGATGGTCGCCTAGACGGCCAGCCCTGACTGCCCCACTGCACCCACCCAGCCTGGGATTCACCCACCTGGGTGTCGGCGTGTGGCTCGAGAGACCAGAAGGCCCAGCAGCAGCAGCGCCTTGAGGCCCAGCGCGCCGAGAAGCAGCGCCGTCGCCCAGGCCCCGGTGGCGCCCCGGAGGCGGAACAGGTACACGCTGGCCTCCGCCCGGCCCAGGCTGTTGGCCGCGGTGCACGTGTAGCGGCCGTCGTGGGTCAGCGCGGACAGCTCTGCGGTCACCTGGTAGCCATGACCTTGGCCCGGCGCCGGGACCGAGCTGTTGCCCAGGGCAGGGCCCGACCAAGCAAGGACGGGCTGCGGCTCCCCTTCGGCGGTGCAGAGCGCGCGGAGGCCGTGCGCGGGGCCGGGCAGCACCGAGACGTTCACGATCCGCGGCGCGGCTGCGGGGACAGGAGGAGGCCGCAGGTCACCGGCCGAGGCCGAGGCGCGGCGCGGCGTGAGCAGCGGGCTCCCTCGAGGCTGAGCGGAGAGGCTCCGAGGGGGAGAGGCCGGACACCGGGCTGCCCGGCTCCCAGTCCAGGCGTGGCCTTGGACCAGCGCTTCGCCCTCCCGCGCCGTGCCTCCGCGTCCCCACCGGAGCAACGGGCGCCGCCGTCTGCTCTTAGTGTGCGCGGGGTAGCTGAGGAGCTGGGGCAAATTAATCCAGGGGAGGCGCCGGGCGGAGGCCTGGCCTGGCCGCTGCTCGCGACCTCGAGACCCGGGCGCAGCAGGCGGCTCTGAGCCTCACGACCCGGGCGCCGGCCGGCATCTCTGAGCCCGGGTCTCGCCCAGCGAGCGCCGCTTCTCCACCGCGGCCGCGCCGGACGGTAGAGGGACGCCTATCCGTTTCTAGTACCCGCCAACCGCACTGTCATCGCGGGCCGCGGGGGACATCCACTCTTTTTGTAACATGGATTCCTCTCACCCCAGCCCGGCTCTTCCCGTGGCCTGCATTCATTCATTCATTCATTCATCCTCCCTCTCCTCCTCCCCCTTCTCCTCCTCCCCCTCCCCCCTCTTTCTCTGGCTAATTGGAAACCACACCCCGCAGAGCTCTCAGCCTCCTGAGCAGCGCGGGTGACAGGCGCCCCCGCGTCCCCCCGCGGTCCCCC